CAAATGCCCCCTACTCGTGCAAGCCAAGCAGGAACAATTTCTAAAGCACTTGTCCTTGCACGCTTCATTACTTATGTTCATCTCTAATGTGCTGCACCGAGGTATTAGGAATCTTTACACGTGTGCAACTTTGACGAACCCTTCGCCGTTATTGCACATAGCAAGTGTGGCACGCTTCCTCTTGCTGACCCATCTTGTAAATCAGTCACCTGCCAACCGGGGCTCTTATCCTGGGAGGCACGTGCACTCGAACAAACTACCATTGTTTGGGTCACAATAACTATATGGATCACACGGATTCTTAGGAGCCGACCAAAACCTGACCCATCTACTAGTGTCCTAGTTCCGCGTACTCCGTTGGAAATACCCTAATTCATCCAAAAACACTAATGATACAACTGAGAAATTAATAGGACGGTACATCACAAAGAGCTCTTCATTGTCGTCAACATATAACTAGCATTCAATATGAAATTGGGTGACATCTCTGCTATGCCACTCCAATTGTCACCAATCCGTGGCCCGGTTCTCCATAACCGGGTTGGGCCCTTGTGCAAGAATGACTGGGGCAACCCACTGGGGTCCATCCGGTTCTCCATAACCGGGTTGGGCTCTTGTGCAAGAATAACTGGGGCAACCCGAGTCATCATGTGACTTCCAAGATGTCAGGAAGTGGTACATGCCTGTCTTCCAATCCAGCCCAAGTTTCATGCTTGGTAGTCAATTGTTTGTGATTCTCTTCTAATTGAGCAATTTATTCTATTATTATTGTGTTTACATTAGATAAGATAGTCAATGGAAATTGATTGAGGAACATGGTAAAATTGGGGGTAACTACACCACAGTGGAATGCATAAAAAAAGAAATGCATACAAATCCATAAAAAAAATATATATATATATATAATTATTAATATTTATATAATTTTTTTATTAATTTATAATTAATTTTTCAAATATTTACTGATGTGATATTTTTCCATAAAATTGTACACTTGGATAAGAATTACCTTTCAACTCACGGATACAGTCACCACCACCAATCAATAATTAAACAGTGATACTGAGAACTCAGAAAAATAAATAAATAAATAAAACTTAGAAAATGAAATTAATAGATAGGATTTACTCAAAATTCAGTTTTGCAACAATAACTTTAAGCACACACGGTAGATTTATGGGTAAAATACAAATGAGCAAATTATATTGGTAGTTTTTACATTTTGTCATTTGTATCGTTTTAGTCATTCTACTTTTAATTAACTCAATTTTGATCCTTAATTTTAAATTTTGTATCAATTTGATCTAATTGATAATGTCATTAGTGTTTTCAATGGAAAATAATCACTAAATGGAAAATAATCAATAAATTTATAATTTTATTCAAAAAAAAGGACACATATCATTTATATGTATATTTTTTATAAAAAATGCTAAGAATTGTAATCAATTAGACTAAATTGAAATAAAATCATAAATTCATTGTCAAAATTGAACGAATTGAAATTACGGGAATAAAATAACACAAGAACCAAAGTACAGGGACTACTAGTGCAATTTTCTCAATACAAATACACCTTTTGAGATTTATTTAAAATGCAAATTGATCCTTATAGTTTTGAAAATTATAAATACTCCCATGTCAACAAAATTTATTTAACATAATTAACATTAAAAAAATTAAATTTTTAACTACTCTTCTATACAACAACAAAATTATCTGAATTATTAATTGAAATATATTTTTGGCATCATTAAAAATTATAATTGACCTGATGATTTATTAATAAAATGAGTTATTTGTTATGTGATTAAAAACTTAAAGGAGCGAAAAGTAATTTTTAAAATTATATAAGACAAACTGTATTTTAAGTAAATTATAAGAAATGTGTTTATAATTTATCATAAATTTATTTTTCATGATAAAAATCTGAGACCATTTTCTGGTCTCCTAAACTTTTCTATACTCTAATCAAATTATATTTTCATGAGTAAGTCTAAACTTCACCAATGATGATGAATCATCTTTATTTTAAATTCAAAAATGGGTTAAGGAAAATCATAATCCATGTAATAACATGTTAAATATAAACTGTTATTTTTATATTTTGATAAACTGTTATGTTTTGTGAAATGGGAAGGATCAAAATCCACGCTAGCTAGATCTGATCTCAATATGCCTCCGTTTGGGAAGTGGGTTGATTTTTGAATTTTTGACTTTTTTGGCTATTTTAGCCTGAGCTAAAAAGCTTGGTTTGGGAAGGGCTTTTTGGCTTTTTGAATTTTTTGACTTTTTTTGTGAGAGAAGAGTGTAATGATTATGGGTTGGATGTGATGTTTTGTTTTTTGTGGCTAAAATAGCTTATTTTGTCTTTTGTGGCTAAAATAGCCAAAAAACCCCGAAAAAGCCCTTCCCAAACGGACCCATATAACTTTGCTCATCTAAACTTTATTAGATATATCTCGAATTATCAAAACAATATTGAAAGTAGCTAAGAATGCTCTATTATATAATAAACTAATTTTTTCAACACCTAAACCCCACAATTTTAATCAATTTCAGAGCATCTCAACCCCACCATAAAAAAACAAAAAAAAAACCAAAGAGAATGGTATGAATGGAGGGAGAATATATAATAAAGATTTTATTTTTTAATTTTTAAAGAGGGGCTACAACAAAATTAAGGGATACATATACAATTCCTAATGGAGAAAGATGGAAAAAAATAAAAAATAACAACTGTTTAAACTATAATTGTCACAACCCAAACTCATCCCTATAGGTTTAACGTCGTAATCGGCTAGTAATCTTGGGATTACCAAATGCTTCTGAACAGATTAACACATAATAAGGAACTGCGGAAGTAGATATATAAATATATAATTAACATACATAGTCCATTGAGCTATATAGACATACATGGGACAGGATATTTAAACCTTTATGTATAACCCATATATAAAGCCAAGTATACATCCATCTTACGAGGCCAATAAACATAACATGAAAGAACTGTTCACAAAAACAAACAAAAGTCTTAAACTTATAACTTGTTTCTTAAACTCGACCACTTAACTTAATCCGGAACCTCCTCGGGAGGCACAAAGGCTGGTCGACGCAAAACATATCTTCAGGCTACCATTACTGAGCCTGGCCACGCACCAGATCTCTTACATACATAAAATAATAGAGTGAGCGGAAGCCTAGTGAATAATAACAGAGTAAAAGGTTTAATGATGTCCCATATCAGATTCAGAAAGTAGAGTTCGGATTAGAAACAGATTCATATTCTCATTCAAAGTTCAGAAGCATGCATTTATTCAATTTCACAGATGATCATACATGGTACACCCATTAGTGCTAACAGATCAGATACAGAGTATTAAGGGTCATACTTGACCAGTTCCATAAAGGAACCTCCGGTACCGGAAACAGATAATATACTTAAGCCACGGTATTGTCACCCCTAGGCGAGGGCCATGAGACCATGGTATTATTAACCCCGAGCAAAGGCCTTGTGCTCATAGTCCACGGTATTGTTACCTCCAAGCAAAGGCCATGTGCTAAGGATGCCATGAATACTTTTCAATATATGGACAACCATTCATTGATACAAAACATAGCATTCCACAGAACAAATCATTCCTTGTCATATCATATAGGAAAACATTTAAACGTGAACATGGCTTTACAAAGTTATTACTCACAGATGGTTTCAATAGCAAAAACAGATATAGTAGACGGATCAGACGATTTATGGCGCGTAACCTACATAAACACAAAACGGATAATATTGAAACACACACCCGAGTGAGCCCTTAGGTTTGCAAAAGTACTGGTTGCCTGAATTTTTCGCTCAATGGACGCTAGATGGTCACTTGGACGGAAGACTGAATAAACAGGGTCTTCCCTCAAGCGCAACTCTTGTCGCTCGAGTGGTCAGTAAAATTTGCAAGACTTTTAGAAGCACGAATTTTATGCTCGAGCAGAAGTGCAAAACCACAAGTAGTCGCTCAAGCGTAGAATCTATCGCTCGAGTGGTGATGTAGATTCTGGAATTTCCAGATTGTTGTTCAAGATGCAACCCTCAAGTGCAAAGCTTCAAAACGCATCTTTTGGGCCCAAAAACTCAAGAAATCATGTCTAAGCTTAGAAAACATTGTGAATTCAAAATCATTTCGCAAAATCAAAACCCAAAAGCATGCCAATTGTGCAAAACAAAACTTGAAACTTCCAAAACATGGCATGCATGCTATTCTTGAGTTCAACTCTTTCATACCATGATCAAATGAGCTAAATTGATGTAGAATGTGATGAATTCTCATAGCCAAGCTAAAATAACCACATACATGCAAGAATCGTTTGATAATTTGCTTTAAACATGATAAAATATGCATGCATGCGAGATTACTCTGAAATATGCCTGCATGCGAGATTACTCTTAAATTCTTTCAATTTCAACTTAATTCAAGTGCTACTACACTTTCAATTACTTTTTCATTTACATGAAACAAAGCCTAATGGCATAAAATAAGTGTTGAATGCTTACCTCAACCTCTCAATTAAGCTTTAGGTAATGAATTCACTAAGGTTCCAAGCCAAATCCTTGAATTTCCAAGCTAATTCCTTCCAAATTGAGCAATTCTCTCATTGCTTCTCAATTTCTTCTTCCCTCTCTCTCTCTCTCTCACATTGGTTTCCAAAGATGAGGAAAAGAAAATGGGAGTGTAAAGTGTATACAAAAGCCTTATATAGGCTTGATTAGGTCACTTAATTAATCTTAGCTTAAGTTTAAGCAAATTTATTCTAATTATTTGGTTCCGAGTCAAATTTCAATTGAACCTAAAATAAGGCTCCAAAAATTCCAAATAACACATAAACCAAGTCAATTTCGTGATCGGATGCCGATGAGGCCTTTAATTCGCAGAACAAAACAGAAATACAAATAGATCTTCCTACAGCAAACAGATATAATCATAAATAATGCAACAAACATGCAATTAATTTAGAATTTCCTTCTTAATTACTTATCAGGCATTCTTAATCATGATTTAACAATTAATCACTGGTCGAGATTGTTACAATAATAAAAAATGTAATTTTAAAAATCTAAGAAGGGCAACTGCCCACCTAAGGTGCACGTGTTCCCATCATTGCAGGTTGAAAATGTTTTATCGAGCAGCTAGGCATGTCATAGTCACTTCGTTAATGCTAGGAGTACTTTTAAGTAATGACTGATCATGTGTTTCGATGGAACTCCTCTCTATATAAAAGCCAGGTTGCTTGGATTGAGGCAAAATTGCACTGTCACTAACCAACATTAAGAGCACAGAAGACATCATTGGCCTATCTTCAGGGCATTTTTGCACGCATAAGAGACCAACTTGTATGCACCTTAATACCTTTGACATTGGAAATGAACCCTCCATCATTGGATCTAATAACTCAAAAGCCCTTCCTTTAGTCCAAAGGTTCCATGCCTGCAATGGCTCAAAATATATGTAAAAATTAAATATATGAAAATATGAGAAAAGTAAAAAAAGATTTTTTTTTAATAAATCAAGAACCCCCTCCAATGCAAGGTTACATTCAACCGACCCTTGCAAGGTAAGCTTTGGATGGTTGCAACTACCCACAAACCAAAAGTATTGGATAAGTCAGGGTGTTGCTAGCGGAACACAATATCTTTCGTTTTATAGTTGGTTCATGTTTCGACCTTGAACCATTGAACCATGGGTTGTAAGAAGTAGACATATTTTACGTTTATGAACTTACATGTCCAAGAAGGTTAAGATCATGGTCTGAATGATGAAACATACGGTTTCTTTTGCCACTCATTATTTCTAAAATTATGACTCCGAAGCTAAAAACATCTGATTTCATTGAAAAGAGGCCATCAATCGCATATTCTGGAGACATATAACCGCTGCATATCATTATCAAAGAAAACTAAACTTTAGACATGAACTTAAATCTATAGTTTAACCTAAAACAAGGAAACATTACATTGTTTACTTACTAGGTTCCAACCACCCTTTCTGTTTTTGTTGATGATTGATCATGTCCAAAAGCCCTGGCCAAGCCAAAATCTGAAATTTTAGGATTCATCTCACTATCAAGTAACACATTGCTAGCTTTAAGATCCCTATGAATTATTCTCAATCTTGAATCTTGATGAAGATAAAGAATCCCTCGAGCAATTCCCACAATAATGTCCAATCGTGTACTCCATGTAAATGATTTACTTTTTTTTTCTACACCTGCTAAGAAAAATTCACCAAAGATTTTTGCTTAGTTTATTAATTTTTTTCATAAATTATTCTAGTTAGACAAACTTCTTTGGCAATAATACTTTTTTATTGGTCAAATATAAATTCCAAGTAAAAAAGATATGATACATGATCCAGTGGCCCCAAATGTCCCCAATCCCATATCATCCACATCCATTTGATTATATCATAAATTTCAGGTTATGAATGTTTTGGGACAGAAAACATAAAAATTATAGACAAAGAATCCATGGTTGAAAGATACATAAGAAGGTTGAGAAGGCGAACCAAAAATGAACGAATCCAAGCTTCCATTGGGCATATACTCATAAACTAACATTCTTTCTTCTCCATGGATGCAACATCCCAAAAGCCTAACTAGATTTCGGTGTTGAAGCTTGGCAATCAAAATAACCTCATTTTTGAATTCATCCACACCTTGTTTGGAGCTCATTGAAAGGCGCTTGACAGCTATGTCTTTTCCACTTGATAGGTGACCCTAAGGTATTAACATAAGGTTTAGAAAAATATTATACAAACTAACAAATCTTGTGTATTTTTCTTGCAATAATAAAACATTGTATTCTAAAACAAAATTTACTTCAATGATATAAAAGGTGCCATATCCGTTAGTATGCAAAAATGGTAAGATATGGTAATTTATATAGCATTACACCAATATTTATTTTTCTATGAAGCAATAGAGCAATGGAATAAACATACTTTGTAAACAGGCCCGAAACCACCTTCCCCAATTTTATTTGTATTAGAAAACTTGTTAGTTGCTGCTGCAATGGTGATCATATCAAAAATGGGTAATTCTAGTTTTTCTTCGTCACTGGCTTGATTGTTGAATCCAACATCTATTAATCACAAAAAACACACGAAAATGTAGAGCTCATCAAGTTCACTATTTGGTACTGAAATAAGGAGGAAAAACAGAACCTACAAATTTTACATGGGTAGTGTTTAGTTTACTGAAATAAAATGACAATTTCATCAAAAAAATCATTTCTCACATTTGGCTGATCAAAAAAAATAAGAAAAATACATTAAAAATAAAATTTTCATTTATCAATGTAAGTGAATGTTCATGACATATAAATACTAAAAAAATATCATTTCATTTCATTCTACTCTTATTCAAGTTAACCAAAAAGCTTTCCACATCATACAACTAGCTATGTATGTATAAATGGCTCTAGGTGATGAATGAGAAGCAATCTATTTACCTCTTCTTGCCTTTTTCATTACCAACCAACAAACTAATGAAATAATCAGGGCCAACATCACGACAACAGATGTCACCACAATGGTATTCTTTTTATCAACACTTATGGACTTCTTCTTCTTCAAATGTTGATCTAGAAAAAAAAAAAAGAACACGGTCATTAAATTTGAAGTATGAATTAGCCAGGTAGATCATAAAAGTGTAAATGGAAAACTTTACTTTACCCCCTTATGATTTGGGCCATGTGTGGTTTATTCCCCTAACGTTTGGAAATGACCATATAACCTTCTTGTAGTTTGTGGACTAAGGTGTACCGTTAGGCCCGTTAACAATTTAATAAAAAAGACAAAAATGCCCCCCTATATTTTCATCATTTATTTGGAAGACAAAGCATACTTTAACCCTATATGTTTTATTCTATGTGCGATTCATCCCCTTGTAATTTGCAAATGAGCATATAGCTCTCCTATGTCTGCCACGTATTTCACAATTGCTGTTAAGTTGAACGACATATTTAATGGTGCATTTCAATCTACAAACCAAGTGGGGGTTATGTGGTCATTTCTAAATGTTAGGGAGGTAAACCGCTTAAATCACATGGGGTAAAGTGAAGTTTTCCCTAGTGTAAATTACATAGAAATAAGAGTTTATTTACAAGTGATTATTCTATCTTTTGAGAATTTTACATTGGCGGTGTGCTCCACCGATAGTAAGGGTTGGTTTGGGAACAAGCTAAATAAGTAGCTTATTGTTATATTACCTTTCTATTTTTCTGCACATTTTATAAAAAATCTCTAAATAAACAAACCTCAAACCAACCCTAAGAGCCTAATAATTACGTGGTCCTAAAAATAAGAAAATTATAGAACAATAACAAAAGTATTGTTGGATGGACAAGCAACCACATGATCTTTCTTACTCTTATGATAATTTCTAATAAAATTTACCATTTTCCTCCCTTGCTATAACCTAAAGTTGGCAAACAGTTGGGTACGGATGGATTTAGGCTGGTCAAAATGAGTTATGCATAACCCACCTATTTAATAAATTGGCTTAAATTGATTAGGTTGAATTGGATCCAGATTGGACAAATAGACCCAAATAATCCATTTATTTCATCTCTTTATATATATTTTTTATGTTTTTTTAAAAAAAATATATTTTTTTTTAATTTCTAAATTATTTTTAATTTTTCAAGCTTTTTAATTTTTAATTTTTAATTTTTATTTATTAATTTTTTATTATTATTTTATGATGATGATGGTAATGGTAGAGCGGAGATGATGGAGGCGGATTTAATTTTTCAAGCTTTTTAATTTTTAATTTTTAATTTTTATTTATTAATTTTTTATTATTATTTTATGATGATGATGGTGATGGTAGAGCGGAGATGATGGTGGCGGAGTAGCGGTGGGGGGAAACAATGGTGGTGTGGCGATACGGTGGTGGTGTGGCGATATGGTGGAGGTGATGGTGGTAGTGTTGGTGGTTGTGGAGTGCCGGTAATAGAGGAGGTGGTGTGTTGGTGGTGGTGGTCATGGTGGTGGAGTGGCAGTGATGGAGGAAGTGGTGCTAGTAGTAGTGGTGGAGTAGCGGTAGTAGATGAAGTGGTAGTGAAGCGGTGGTGGTGGAGTGGCGATGGTAGAGGTGGATTGGTGGTAGAAATGGTTCCAATTTAACCGAATATAAATGGGTAATCATGTCTAACCCATATAAACCCAATTTTAATTGGGTTGACAATAAGTAACTCATTTAAGCCTATTTATTGATTTGGACGAATTTATATGAGTTTTAAATAAATACTATTGGACTCATTTAAGCCATCTCCTTCTCCACTATAAAAACCATTGCCTCAAACTACAAGTGATTTTATTTGTACTCAAATAATAACTCAGTATGTCTAATTAGAATTTTAAATTTCTGGTTTCTATTATACCTTAATATAAATTTACTAATAAGGATAATACACATTAAACCCTAAAATAAATTTTTTTTTTCTCATTTTACACACTAATCGCTTGTACGTATTATTCATATTCAAGTCACTTTGCCTTTTTTCTTAAATTTCAATTATTTTCTCTTAATCTTCTTTCTCACTCCATAACTCCAATCCATCCCACCAAAACTCACACTTATTGTGTTGTTACTTGCAAATAGAATAAAATTTGAATAAAATAAAAAAAAAATGACAGTAATAATGATAAGTGTTTTTTGAAGCAATCCATCAAAGAAGAAAAAAGTGTTCAAAATTAAGAAGCTTGTCATCAGGATTTGCAAAAGAACATAGCACAAATCCACCAGTTTGCACTGAGAGAGAAGAGTTTCCCAAGAGTAGATAGTTGCTTCATACATAGGAAATAAGAAAAATGAGGCTTCTGAGATCAAATGCATGTAAGATTTCTGAATGAAACTGTATATTCAATTGATAAAAAATACAAAGGATACATCTGATTATATAGTATTCCTAACCCTAGGACTAAAAAGGAAACGAATCACAATCTCACTATACTACCATACATACATATATACACAATATTCTCACACCCCCACTCAAACTCAAGGTGTTTTAGCAGAAAACACTGTGAGTTTGCCAAGAAGAAATTGAAACCGGACAGTGGTATGAGTCTTGGTAAGTTAAGTCGGAAAGACGAAAGGAAAAGAGATAAAGCCAGATTGCAGATGCTGACGAATGAAGTGACAATCAATCTTAATGTGCTTGGTCCACTCATGGAAGATAATGTTATGGGCAATTTGAATAGCACTGCGGTTGTCACAATAGAGGGAGGTTGGAGAAGACTGAGGGACGCCCAAGTCAGAGAGAAGACAACGAAGCCAGACAATTTCAGCCGTAGCATGAGCCATAGCACGATACTCAGCTTCCGCAGTAGAGTGAGCAACAACAATTTGTTTCTTACTTTTCCAAGAGATTAAGGAATCACCAAGAAACATACAAAAACCAGACATGGACTTATGATCAGTAACATCACCAGCCCAATCAAAATCAACATAGGCCACCAAATCCAGAGAGCAAGTAGAGGACAATAGTAAACCCTGAAATATAGTACCTTAGAGATAGCGAAGAATCCGAACCAATGCAGCCTAATGTGTAGAGCGAGGAGCAGAGACAAACTAGCTAACCACATGAACAACATAGGCAAGATTAGGATGAGTAATCGTCAAATACACTAAGCAACCTACGAGCTTTTGATATATAGTAGGATGATCTAGAAAAACACCATCAGTAATGGTGAGCTTTACATTAAGCTCAATGGAGGTATTAGGAATCTTAGTGTAAATGAGACCGGCACAATGAATAACCTCATTGGCATACTTGGCTTGAGATAGAAAGTAGCCTTTGGGAGAAAAAGCTACCTCAATAACAAGAAAATACCGCAATGGGCCCAGATCCTTCATGTCAAATGTGCGGAAAAGATGCTGCTTGACCTTAGATATAGAAGAAGATTCAGAACCAGTGATGATCATATCATCCACATACAATAATAACGCACAAACCCAGCAGAGATATGGAGAATAAATAAAGCAGAGTCCTGGGCACAAGGATGAAACCCAAGCTCAGTAACAGCAGTCTGAAAGCGATCATACCAAGTATAAGGAGATTGCTTCAGACCGTACAGAGCACGCTGAAGACGACAAACCTGTCTAGAAGAATAGTGAATGCTAGGGAGACGATGCATGTAAACCTCCTCAGCGAGATGGTCATTAAGAAAAACATTCTTAACATCCATCTGATAGAGAGGTGAAAAACAAACAGCAGCGATAGAGCTCAAAGTATGGACAGTAGTCATCTTGGCAACAAGAGCAAAAGTCTCCTCATAATCAATACCATACTCCTATAAGAAACCTTTGGCAACCAGACAAGCTTTGTAGAGCTCAAGTGAATTATCAGAATGAGTCTTGACTTTGTAGACCCATTTGCAACCAACCAGATTCTTACTTGCAGGCAAACTAACCAACTCCCAAGTACTAGTTTTCTGTAAAGTAGATAACTCATCCTCCATAGCTTGAACCCAATGAGGATCCTGACAAGCCTTCTTGTAAGACTGAGGTTTTGAAAAAGAGTGAATAGCAGACAAAAATGTACGATAGGAAACAAAAAAAACATGTAGTAGACCAACCCAACCTGTTTGGAGGATGACGTGCTCGAGTAGGATATCGATGTGCAGCAGGATCAGAGTCGTCAAAAGCAGGAGGATCAGCAGTAGGGGTAGAGACAACCAGTAGAGGAAGAGCCTTGCGACAAGAATAAACTAACAATGGATGAGGAAAAGAAACCAAAGGAGAAGTAGCCAGATGTGAAGCAGGAGGAGAAGATAGAACAAGCTCAGGGGGAACTGTGGAGATGTACTCATCAAACGGGACCTCAGAAGGAAACAGATCAATATGAACCAAATCCTCTTTGGAAACTGGGGCGATGAAAGGAGGAAGCTGAAAGTAAGATAGATGTTCAAGAAAGGCAACATGGCAGAAGACATAAAGGCGACGGAAAATAGGGTCATAACAACAATAACCTTTCTGAGTGAGACTATAACCCCAAAAGACACATAAAACAGACCAGACACTAAGTTTGGTCCTATCTTTACGGGGTAAAAGGGAAAAACATGCAGACTCAAATACACGAAGGAGAGAGTAACTGGGAAGTTGAGAAAACAGGGCCTCATAAAGAGACCTACCAGAAAGAAGGGGGGTAGGCATAGGGTTGAGAAGAAAAGCAGCAGTAAGAACTGCCTTACCCCAAAATGGAGCCGAAACGGAGGCAAAGAGAAGAAGAGACCTAGCTATCTCGAGGAGATAACGGTGTTTACGCTCAGCTCGACCATTTTGGATAGGTTGGCGAATCGTACCCAAGTTGGCCAAATATTCACAAAATTTAGTTTTCAAATATTCCTCGCCCAAGTCAGACCGTAATAATTTAATAGTAGACCCAAACTGTGTAATGACCATAGACTGGAAAGTATGGTATATCTGGTAGAAGTCATACTTATGAATAATAAGATAAACCCAAGTGTAACGAGTGCAGTCATCAACAAATGACACATAGTAGGCAGAACCTCCTTTGGTAAGAACAGGAAAAGGGCCCCAAACATCAGTATGAACTAAAGAAAATGGTGCATCACATATCAAAGTAAGGCTGTCATTTTGGCAAATTTACACCCCCGACATTCAGTAAGTTCACTAGGAGAAACTTTACCCAATATACCAGACTGAGCTAAAGACCGTAAGCGATTAGCAGATAAATGCCCTAATCTAGAATGTCATAAGTAGAAAGGACTAGACAGAGAATCTAACTGAAAAGAGAAAAGGGCAGTCAGAGAGGTTGCCATAGGCATATGCAAGCTCTCCACCATATAGAGGTCTCTAACTCTATGACCGGTCCTAATTTGCTGCTTAGACATCCGATTTTGCACAGAACAGATAGAAGAATAAAAAATAACATCAAAATCAGAGGCATCAAGCTGATTGATAAATAATAAATTGATAGATAATTGAGGAACATAAAGGACAGATGGAATAGAGACAGCAGACATAGCAGACAGTAGGACAGACCCAACAGATACAACAGACATACCAGGCCCATTAGTAGCATTGACAGTAATAGGAAATGAGGGAGGAGTACAATTTTGAAGCAAAGAGAGATGAGGAGTCATATAATGAGAGACACCAATTCAAAAATCCAGACAGACGAAGAAATACCTGAAGAAGACCCAAGCAAACCTAAATGAAGAGAGAAAACAATGGAGATAGACGGGGATGGCTGGAAGGTAGACAATATATGTTGAAGCTGACTAATCTGAGCAGTTAAGAAAGCCAAGTCAGGATTAGGAGCCGGAGCAGATGCAGTATACACAACAGGAGGAGCCCGTAATAGGTTTTGAGATTGCTAAAAAGATGAGGCAGGAAGACGTCCTTTCTTGGGACAATGGGACTTCCAATGGCCCCTCTGATGACAGAAGACATACTCATCAGAAACCAGTGGCCCTTTCTAGGGATTTGTAAAAGACTGAAACTGATGGGCATCCGACATCGAAATGAACCAAAGTTAATAGAATTTTTTGGGGTGTCAAATTATAATAACGAGGAACTGGCAAAGCAAATAAGAGCAAGCAGAGATAGCTAACCAAAGGTTTCTTCGACTTAGATGGATTGTTACGAGGTTGTGATGAGGGTTTCTCAAGGTTACGAACCAGAGACACTAACCAGATGACCAGACAAATGACTGTGATGAGGGTTTCTTTGGGTTACGAACTAGATGACTAGACAAAGGACGACTCGTGTCCTTCGATCAAACTAGACGAACACAGACGAAGATGAGGGAGTTACGACTGGCGACTCAGAGCAATAAAACTATAGGGCTGATTTCGAAAAGACGATCACGATGAAGAAGAGCACCGATGAGCACGACTCAGTGAGATTCTGATGAAGAAGACAACACAAAGACAATTCTAGGGTTTCGGCTCAGAGACGGCTCTGATACCATATAAGATTTCTAAATGAAACTGTATATTCAACTGATAAAAAATATAAAGGATACATCTGATTATATAGTATTCCTAACCCTAAGACTAAAAAGGAAACAAATCACAATCTCACTACACTACCATATATACATATATACACAATACTCTCACAATGCACACCTACCTTTTATATGTACCAAATAATGGGAGCTTTTCATACCGCAAGTACAAACATATACATACCAGTGACGGGGGCTGAGGGTTTTCCAACTGTCGTCTTCCCTGTATGTGAATAGAGCAAAAAAGATTTTTCAAACTGGTGTAATTTGGAATTTTTGATTTATTTATTATTTAGGTGTACCGTTTTATCTTGAAAGGTAATTTGTGAAAAAATATAAGATGTATTTACAGTAAATTATAATCATAAATAATTTAGTAGGGAGTATTGAGAAATTGATCGTACAAAATGATTTTTTGGGTGCAAATAAAATCTCCCTCTAAACTACCCGTGAACTCATGGTTTTTTGTCAAGCATGGTTATGAAGGGTATTAATGGAATGAGATGGGAAAGAAACACAAAATTAAGGATATTTTGTCTCTATGATGTGGAAACGTAAGGACATTTTTCTTCCATATCCAATCAAGTGATTATCGATATCTAATTAACGTGATTTTTGAAAGAATGATGTACTTAATGGATTTTACACATTGAAGAATTTAAATTATCAACATAGGCCTGAATTAGGGCCCACCAAAACTGAACAAACCTCTCAAATAACTGAAGAGGAGCTGAGTCCCTTCATATATATATATAGGTAACGTACAACCACTTAAATCTTTTTTACAACTTAAAAGGAACTAATTCGTATAATTTTAAAATAATCAATAATTAATATTAATATATAAAGAGAATTTTTGAAATTGTAGAGAGGCGATGCCTCCCTTTGGTCTATTCTTGGCCAAGTGTATTGTACCCTTTTAGAAACTACAACACAAGAAAAATAAAGAGTAAAAAAATAAAAATCTACACAATTATCAATGATTTTAGATAGGTGGATATAATTTAGCAGGGCGGCCCTGGCCTAAGGCCAGTAAGGCCTCTGCCGTAGGCCCCAAAATTTTGGCTTAAAAATAGGGTCTTTAAATTTAGTAAAATGTTGTAAGCTTAATGTTTTTTATTTTTTTTTATTTTATTATTATTATTTTTAAGAATCAATTTAAAGGACCCCAAAATATTTTATTGGATCCATGTATGGTTTAGCCAATAATTATTTATAAGTGTAGTTTACCCCATATTTATTAAAATGAAAATATATATTAAAAAAAATATTTGGGCCCAAGAAGAACAATACATACAATATATAGGCCCTAATTTATTTTATTTTTTTTTACCTTCTTTATCTATTAGATTTTAGTGGAATAAATAATTTTGTCATAATTTTTTTACCCAAGTCTTTGTCAGTTTTAATTGAATAAATTTTTCCTAATTTTTTTGCCCTAAATTTGTTTCATTAAATTGTTTTGTTTATAATTTTAATGATTATATGTGTAAGTAATTTTTTTTTTTTGTTACAAATAAATAAAAAAGTTGTAACTTATCATTTTATTAAATTTTTTTTTTTTCAATATAAGAGGGGATCCATTTCTGAAATTCGCCTTAACCCCCTAAATCTCATAACCGGCCCTGTAATTTAGCATAATGAAATTGGTTAATTAACATACCTAATTCATCAGCATCAACACGTATATACCATTCAAGCAGAACATCAGCGAACTTTCTTACATCCATCAAATCTCCATACCATGTGATACAATTGCCCGAATCAGCTACACTTGAGTAAGCCTTGCACGAGCAGTTCATCAAGCACACCGCTTCACACTCATTCATTCTCAACTGCGGCGCCACACGTGCCCAAGATGTATCTGGAATCTGTGCACCTTCGACCTTCACGAACCCTTCTCCATTCCGACAAATGCCAAGCCCCGCGCGCTTCTTCTCCACACACCCACCTGACGCATCTCTTAAATTCCATTGGTTCGCTGACTTGGGCTCGTACCCTGGAAGACACGTGCACTCAAACTCCGTTGGCAATTTGCTGTCGTCACAATAGCTATACGCACCACACAGCCCATAATTGTCACATCGTTCATTCGGGATCGAGTAGAACTCGACCCATTTACCCTTACCCTGACCCTCCACATCGACCCACGTGTCCATTTTTAACGCCCCAACAAGTTCGTCCCAAAAAAATCTAGACAAACTCGAGCCATTGACCTGAACATAAGCTACACTGACTTCCTCAGGATCATCAATGTAACTCGACTTTAACATGCCAATAGGGAATTTCTCAGACGCTTTGCTCGAGCTCCATGGCAAGATCCGATATAATTTGACTGAGCCCTTGTACAATACAAGTTGGGGCCACCCACTTGGTACCATCCTATACGAGTATTCTCCTGTGCCCGGATCGTCTTTCGACTTCCATGATGTCAGGAACCGGTCCAGACCAGTCCTCCGGTCCAGCCCGAGTTTCATGTTGGGCAGCAGAGTATTCGTAGGATGATCAAAACTTTGCCATGCAACAAAACTTTCATTTTTAGTATCACTGCCTTGAAACAACAACATCAAATTCCCCGAATCCAAGAGTCGAGCTGAATAAGAATTGCTCGTGGCCATCACTGGTGCTGAAACGTTTGTATGCCAAAGTGTAACATGTTGGGAATTGTCATCGTAGATGACGAGGTTTCCATGTTGGTCGATAGACATTGCTCCGGATGTACCGTTGATTGGTTTGTCTCGATTGGCAACCCAAACTACGGTTTGTTCAGAGATCTTGTAGTACCATATTCCCACATACCTACGATTGGATGTTCCATTTCCCGGACTGAAAAACCCAAGTGCGAAGGTCTCATCGTTGGAGACTAAAAGGTCACCGTCTTTGATGGGTTGGGCTGGAGTTATAGTGTCTCTGGATTTGCAAAATCCAAAGAAAAGAAACAGAAGCAACAAAATATTGAACACCCAATTTTCCAGATTCGTCATTTTGGGTTGGAGAAATTGAGGGTAAAGAGAAAAAGAATTAAACTAGAGAGAGTAAAGAGAAAAAAGAAAAATAAAGAGAGATAAATTAATATTATATCTTTATGGGATGAACAGTGACTCCCTATAGCATTTGTTAAATTAAGCTTCCATTTGGGAAGTGGGTTGGCTTTTTGACTTTTTGACTATTTTAGCCTAGGCTATTTTAGCCTCGTTTGGGAAGAACTTTTTGGCTTTTTGACTTTTTTAGCTTTTTTTGTGAGAGAGGATTGTAATGATTATGGGTTGGATTTGATGTTTTGTTTTTTGTGGCTAAAATAACCTATTTTGTTTTTTGTGGCTATTTTAGCCAAAAAAGCCTGGCTTTTTTCTTCCCAAACGGAGCCTAAGAAACTTACATTGATGGCCGTGTTTGGGAATGATTTTTTTGTGATTTTTTTTTTTGTTTTTTTCACTAAAAGACAAAGTAGTTACAAAACTAAAAATAAATAAATTCAAACAAAACATCACATTAAACTTCATAATCATTTCATTTTTTTTCTCACAAACATCACATCCAATCACAAAAAAATCTAACTATCTTTTCAAATACAAAATTTTACACTACAACATATAAGACTTTTGGCGACTAATTATTTTGGTCCCTAAAACTATTATTTTGGTCTCCAAATAGTTTTTGTGACAAAATTAATTCCGTCACTAAAACAGTCACTAAAAGTGCGTCTAGAAAAGTCTTCAGCGACAAATTTTTGAAAATGTCGTTAAAAATGACAATTAGCGACCAATTTTATATTGTCACAAAATATTTAATTTTACAAGACTAAACATTTGGTCGCTAATACTTCATCATAAAATGTCCCAATTTGGTCACAAAAAACAAAATAATGACATTTTTAACGACAATGATATTTGGTTGCTAAAAGACATATAACTTTCTCTACAACACATTTTCGTCACTAAAAATCAAAATTAAAATTTTGTAATCATTTAATCTCATAGCTTAAAATGCACAAAATTAAATGTCATCAAATCATATTAAAAAAAATTTGACATTCACATATCAAACGTACTCTATTCCCAAACCATAATAAGTATATAGAAAGTAAAATTTTACAAAAATTAAAACTGAAAGTTTCCAAATTCAAATCAAAGTAGTAACAGTTTAAATGAAGAATAGCAATAGTTTCTTCAAAGAGAATCTCTAAAAAAACATTTTCTCAACATCAATATCAGGCTATATATCAGACAGCCTTGGCACAAGTGGCTTCAAGTTGTACTTAGGTGTGACACCCTTTGGACATCCCTGCAACCCAAAATTCAAAAAGAAAGATCAAATAATAAGAATCAACACAACATAACCTCATTAAATAATCAATAGTCATTCATAATCAAATAAGTTACAGACAATGAAAAAACACGTTATCTCAGTGTACTTGGAGTAGTAGTGAGCTATAATAAGAATCAACACAACAAGAAAGTGAGTCACCTAGAATCAACACAATAAGGTTATCATAATCTAAGCACGTTATCATAATAAAATGTTCTAAATAACAAACACTAAATTGATAAATATGACAGATCTATCTAGAGCAAAAGGTACTTACTATGATGGTAAATTAGAAGTAAAACCTCCCCGACTAATTTGTTGCAGCACCAAATCAATCTTGGCATTGACCTCCACGCTATTAGACTCCAAGTTGTGCACTCTTGCATTCAGTTCCTCATTGATTCTCCGTTGCTCTTCAAGCTCCTTTCTAGTTTCCTCATTTTCTATCTCAAGAGCAGCACAAGTGCGTCGACCGGATGCTGTTATACTAGGTTTAGGACCACGTCCTAAACCACTTATGTAGCCAGACTTACGCCCAAACACCTCAATGGAAAGCTGCTCATCAGATAGTGGGCCAGATCCATCTTCTATAACTTTATTCTCCCGCTCTTTAAGTTTTTTCTACATTTGTTCATGAAATTAAATATAGTCATTTTATATATACATTGTAACAGAGCAACTGAAGACATTGATTTTCCTATGTACCAATTCTAGAGAGAACATAATAACTGGTAGAATAGCAGAAAAAAAGTATTGCATTGTATAATTACTGGTAGACATTGATTAATGGCTCTCTTATATCAGTATTGCATGGTATAATTACAATATAGTCACAAATAACCCTTTCAGAGTTGATATTTTATAAACTTATCTCTCTATATAGCAGGTCTACAATAGCAGAAAAGTATATAAAAGAGAACCAAGAAGCACTAAATCCAGTCGATTCATCTAGCTAATTCTATAGGTAATATCCCTCATACACTTCAGAGCAGCAAACACTACAAATAATTAACACAAACAAACCAAGATTTCCATATCCCACAAGATTTACTAACAAGTGATAATGATCCATAGTAGCAGCACTATCCACTAAGAGAGCTAATTGAAATGTTTAAGTGTGAAACAATAATAAGGAGTGAACCCAAAAGCTGAATTTTCAAACCATTTCCTAACAAGGAAGCAAATCAATCATACAAATCATACAAACCATTTCCCAAAAGCTGAATTTTCTAACTTTAAAGTATTAACAGGTTTAATATTCTCTTCAAACATGGGTTTTTAGATGTCATGCCATCCTTGTTTCTAGGTACCAGACAACCTACAGAAGCATATCAATCATAAGTTTTATTATTCACGCTTAGCAAACATTAATTAACAATACCCAGTTTATTTGAGTTAGTATAAGTTGCCAAATACCAAATACACAGCCAGGGCAGCAAGGACATAATCTAGTAGCCACTTGTAACTCAAAAACCCCTTGGATGATCTAGTCCTAGTCATTTACATTGTTCATTCTTAGTGCTAAAGATTCACAACACATGAGCCTTAGACAAGTAATCATTAATAGGAAAATACTTATATTTAATATTAGAAAATTCTTACATGTCTAATTTCAGCTTCATTATGGACCCATGCTTGCCTTTTCTGACTAAAGTGTGTCTTGTGATACAAATCAACAAGTCCAAGCTCCTTTCCATCCTTGTCTCGCTATCAAAACCTTTATAGTTAGTATCCTATGGAGTACATACATCACCAAATAAAAGACATAAAAAAAAGTGCCATGTAGACCCTATGATTTAAAGGTCAGTTGTTTACCTCATCGTATTGCACCATCACCAAATAAAAGAAATAAAAAAAAAATTTCTCTAATAATATCCTACAATTAAAAAAACTTATAAAAAATTTTACTTTCCAAACACCCACAATAATAGGAAATCTGTTGAGATGCTCTAAAGAGAACATAATGTTCTTTCTTGTAAAATGGCAGTGGTGCCGATTTTCGTCGATGATGTTACACATGATAGTCAATGAAATTGACTTGATCAGCATGCAAAAAATTAATAATGCTATAAACATAAAATAAGGGCAACTTATACTGCTATTTTCTATAATTTGTCTTATTTTAATTTCTAAAATTTTAATTGGTTTAATTTTAATCTTGAATTTTTGTTACTAAAAAAAGGCCTCGTTTGAGAACAGACTTTTTTAGTAACTTTTTAACTTTTTGGCTAAAATACGATATAAAAAAAAACTAGTATGTTTGGAATAACTTTTTAATTTTTCACAAAAAGATATGCAAAAAATAGAGAGAAAATGGAATCTTTGACCTTTTGGTCTAGGTTGTTGGCTTTTTGACTTTTTAAGTAATTTTTTTATTTTTTGGCTAAAAAAGTCTCAAATTAATCTAATGGATTTCAATCCTTAGTATTTTTTTATGACAAATGCGTACATGAACAATAGGTGTCATATTTTTAGGAGTAGAATTATAAATTTGATCAATTCAATTACTTAATCTCAGCCAACTCAATGAACATTTTTCAACAAAAATTTTAATGGCATTATTAATTTAACCAAATTGACTCAAAATCTAAAATCAATAGTTAAAATTAAACTAATTGAAACTATAAGAACTAATAAAATAACACAAAAATATAAAGACTACCGGTGTTAATTAGCAAAAATAAATATAAATTTTGGGCAAATTTTTTTTATAAAATTTATGAAATGAATTTTTTTTAACAAAATTTGTTGATGCAGCATACTTTGAAATCTTAACCATTGATTTATTTTAAGAGGAATATCAAAAAAGTGAAAGGTAGAAAAAATAATTTTAAAATGATGATGGTATAATTTTTTTTTTTACATAAATTTATACGTGAACCACTTATACTTCTATCATTTTGAAATTATTTTGTCTTTACTTCACTTTTTTTAAATTCTCCCTTTATTTTTATGTATCCCACGTTTGATTTCAATATCCATTGACTTTTCTTTTATATTTTTTATTAATATATCCAAGGACTTATTGAGAGGAAAATTGTGGTTAATTGAAAGAAATTTGGTACTCATTGAACACTTCGATTTTATTTATTTATTTATTTATTTTTGTGAACGAGAGTAAAATCCATTAAGGATGAGTCAAACAGCACTTACAATGGATTTCATACCTACACAAATAAACCTTACTCTAAACAAAGGAAAAATGAGTAAAGAGGCACACAAGTAAAGTCAAAATAATATCAAAGATATGATCATACAAGATCTTTATCCATACTGCAACGTAGATGCGATCTTAAGAGATCAACACTAAGGCTAGTCAAAGATACCACAAAAGCTTCTACCCGAGAGGGTAAGCTACCAATATCACACCCATGGAGCCCAAACATACAAAAATACATAATAGAAGCAAAAAGAAAAACTCAAAAAACAAACCAAAACAAAAAATCTAGAGGAGGAAGAAATCAGATCTGGTGGAAGATTAGCCACGGCATGGTAGTGGTGGTGTCGGAAACAAGAAACGGCAATGGGTGACTGATCCGATTGTGGTGTGGTGGTGGCGGCGAGAAGCGGTGAGTACGGCGGAGAGGCAGTAGATCTAGCTCCGATTGGGAGGGGAGAGGAGGAGAAAACTTAAAAACTTCCACCCTAAAGAAAGAGACACCTCACAAGGAGGGAGAGAGTTGGAAGAATGATCTCCCAAGATTTATTTTACAGAAAGTATAAGGAAAAAAAAAGGGGGGGGAGAGAGAAGAGAGAGAAAAAATGTAGAAGAAAAAAATTGACTATTCTGATTGTTTAAATGTCAAAAAAAAA